AGTGTCGGCATGGAGATGTACGCCACGGCTCCCCGTATGAAGTAGCTGCCGTATGGAGATGTGCCACGGCTCCCCGTATGAAGTAGCAGCCGTATGGAGATGTGCCACGGCTCCCCGTATGAAGTAGCGGCCGTATGGAGATGTGCCACGGCGCCCCGTATGAAGTAGTGGCCGTATGGAGATGTGCCACGGCTCCCCGTATGAAGTAGTGGCCGTATGGAGATGTGCCACGGCTCCCCGTATGAAGTAGCGGCCGTATGCAGATGAGCCACGGCTCCAGTGAACTCTCGCTCTGTGACGTCGTTGAGCAGCAACTGGTCGTCTGGCACCGACAGTTTCTGGCTGATCTTCTAATGTTCATTCACTCGGTGCAAGTTAATGTGTTGAAGAGCGTTCGGAAATGATGTGATAAAACTTAATTAGGAAGCGTTCGGAAATGATGCGATAAAAGTAGCTCAGGAAACTTGAGACCGATGACTAACTTTCATGCTAGGAAATACTTCGAGGCTTCGTAATAGATTGCTCATCAAATGTATACTAAATCACAGAAGGATGGAAGCTCAAGAAGTAAATATTTAAAAAAATTATGTGTGGCTATAAGTTGTAAAGCTGTGTTACGCCATGTGCTCACAGAGTCGGAGAAACCGGTTGCCGAAAGTGTTGAAAAAATTGAAGTTAACAAAAGATGTAAATACTTTTTTTAGTATTCAAGAGAAAATAAAACTGAATAATTTGTTTAAAGATCGTCGTACAAAGGTAACGAGGGAAGTACCGGAATAGTAAGCATGTCGTTCAAGTATGAAAATTAATGAATGTTGCTTAAGATAAGAAAAATTATCGTATATAAACACTAGTATTTTATCACATAATTCTATCATTCTAGTGGCATTGACTGAATAATTTCTTCACAATAAAAGCGCGCATGGCGAAAACAATGATAGAGCGTGAATACATAGATAATGCTCATGATCGAAAGGCATGATTGCTGAGAAAAGTTTCTCAAAATGAGCAAATCAGCGCTAATAAACGCTAGCCTTATTTCCATCGCTCAAGAGACACGGACTGAATAATTTCTTCATGCAAAATGCGCGCATGGCTAAAACAATGGCAGGGTCTGAATATTTAGGCATGATCGAGACCAGCCTGCGCAGGCGCTGAGCTCATTTCACCTCCCGGGGAGAGGCACAGATTGGATGCCTACAAGTTGCCGCAGGCGCTCGGTTATTTTCCATCACCTTTGCGAGTCGCAGTTTTTGTTCAGGCTTAATACGAGTGGTCTACTAGCATTAAAAACTAGTATTAAAAAACTAGTATTAAAACTACTAGTTGCCGCAGTAACTACTATTAATACGAGTGGTACAGTGAAGCTAAGCATACGCTTATGGCAGTATATATTTAACTGTAATAGGAAACGCTGTATCTTCGCTCAGTTTTACGAGTGTTACGAGTTTAGTTCGACGAGACAACAAATAACGAATTATTAGTTTGGTGATGATGCAAATTTTTTTTGGTGATGCTGTATTAATGATGCAAATTTCCTGAAATTATCGGGTACAATATGAAACAAAATAAATTGAGATTAATCGGTTTAAGACTTGCTGCATTATTCTTCCGGGAACATTTTCAGTGCTTAGACCTTGAATTTGATATTCAGGAGAAATGATTCAATACACGCAGAATTCAGGGCAATTATGAGAATTGTATTTATACAAGAATAAAAACACTGACTACTTTTTGTGTAAATGTTTCGTGCATTGTTAACGAAGTGTTGGGTTTTTTGGCAGCTGGACCACCTGCGTTCGCTGCATATCTCCCCATATCATCGCGATATGATTTTCGCTACAGAATCGAGATTGTGTATTTAGCCCAGCCGTCAATTGGGACTGCCAAGGATTTACTGATCATTTTTGCAACTCTTCAAGGCCCTGGATAAAATCTCTATACTCAATGGATTGCCACATTATAATTGACGCGGTGTAATTGCCGTATTAAAATTACGCATCAAGTGTAATTACCATGTTATAATTAACACTTTTTTTGTTACCAATTACAACTGCGAACTCCATGACGTCATGCTAAAATAGTTTTTTAGCAATATCAAATGCACGGGAGAATCAATGAAAATTTAATTATTGAAGACTCCATCCGTACAATAATTTATCCAAATATTCTGTGGCACTGGAAGAAATTGCGCGGCGGATCTGGATGATTTATTTTTGATCATATTTTAAATCATCTTTGAATGTTGTTATCGCACTGCTACGGTACAAATTAGTTCACGATCGAGCGTTCGTCATTTGTAGAGAAAACTTAATTTGGTTATCAATAGATATTTTCGGAGAGATTTACAGATAATTACGCATGAAAAATATAGTGTCTTGATTATTGCAAGATGGTTATGGAATTGACCGGTTTCCTGTGCTTAATTTCAACGAGATGATTGCTCGTACTGTCGAAATTAAGGTTTCCGTATCTTGTGTAGACTGGCTGATATCACTAGAGGCAATAGAGATGCGATAACAGCATTGTTATCGGACCAGTAATGCGTCGAGACGCTTACCGAATCGATGAAGTGTGCGTTTGCTGTTCCCAGTATATACCAGTCTTTTGGAAACGTGTCTTTCTTCGGAGTTTAGAGGGAAGGGTTTGCGGTTACACGTGTAAAGTCAAATTTTAAATATGGATTTTCAATGTGTTTTTGTGCAAAAAACTGTTACATTTTTCGAATTATGTTGAGCCCGTGCTGTTTTCCTTGGAAGTGCACATTTCGAGTAATTTTTTTCCTGATATTCGTCATTTTACCCGACGTGAATGTGCTCGTGTAGATGAAGTTTAACTTGTTGGTAGTGCCAATGATAATTCATTGATTTGTTTAAACTAAAGGATACTTTTGTGCATTGCGGAACATTTAGGCTAAATGTAAAAAGTTGGTTAATAATATTCTTAGAAACTTGGGAATTGCATTGTTTCTTCATTTATTTAAGGCGTAATGACGGAATCTTCCGCTGTTAAGGTGAATGATTACAAGAAGAGTCAAAGAAAGTTTTTAAAAATTTGGACTTACAAAATGAAAGTTATTTTACGTCATAAATTCGAGTAATATACAACTTTTACTTCAAGTTCACAGTGTCCGCGCGGTGAAAACCTTTCGGAACTTTTCCGTCTTCAAGAGTCACTAAGTCAGCGTCCTGTGTTTACTGCAGGAGTGCCTCGATAAAATTAAATATGTTAACAAAGTTACTAAATATGGCTTAGGCTAATTCCTAATAATCATTATTTCTGTGGAATGTGCAAACTAGAAGAGACGATATATTTTGACTGAAGTCCCGCTGAAGTTTATTGAAATGCCAAATAAAGCCATTATCTTTCTGTCAACTTACCGTAATTTGACCAATAAGTTTCCTACGTAAGATAACTTAGGCCCAACTACTTCTCCATAAATAATAACAACAAGAATAAATGATATTAAAGATGAGCCATAAAATGATAATTTTCCCATTTATTCAGATTCTCCGACAAGAAACAAATTTTTTTAGTATTCCTTACCAAAAGGAATGTTTTCAGTTTTTCCGCTGCGCTTCGTTTTTTTCGAGCTTTTATCGGAATATTTTTCATGCAAATCACTGCGTCAGCTTAAGCCGACAGATGCAATTTCTAAAGAAACTAAACAGGCGTGATTCTTGGAAAATGCTTATGTCTTCTAAATTCCTCACAATGGCACGACTTGAGGTGTTTATATGTATTTATTAATCATCATTTCTCGACAGTTTATGTGGCTTGTTAACAAAGACCTGACGTTGCTTTACATGCGAACAGCATTTAAAGTTGCTAACACTTTAGTTCTCAATGCATTGAAATTCTGTGGAAATTATAAATTATACACGTTTTTACGGAATTCATTCTCAAGCCCAAGCAGTTTCTGACGTCTTAATTTACCGGTAGATCCAACTGAAATAAAATGCTAATTTTATTGGCTACAAGAGCATGAAGTATTGTAGCCAATAATTAAGCTTTTGACGATATTAGGTGTTCGAAACTCATACATGCCATTATGGAAAAAATCTTGCTGTAATTAATAAAGAATAATTACTGCCAATAAATTCTTAATTAAACGTTAGTAGCAATTTGTTTGAAAACTCAAAATGTTTGGTATGCAATTTATATTATAATTTATCGAAAAAGTTGGTTGTAGATTGAAAACGATTAACAACTGTAAACGTCATATACGTTCGATCTCCAATTCAAGTGAGGGAAGCGTCAATGCTCTGCATTTCAAACTTCAAGTAAACTGTAAATGATATTAAATCGCGGCATTAAATCTATATTCATCGGCGTTGTTAAGACAACCATTGATTGGTTTTAAGACAACCATTCTTGTCCTGCTACTAGACACGTAGGCGTTAAGGGTAACGACAACTGTGATATTCAACTGTCTGCTTTGATGACGTGTGTCTGGCAGAGTTGCGTCATGCATTGTTACAGCGGCTGTTGAATAACATGAAAAACCGCAAGGGATCAGATGAGTCCGACTCTGCGAGGTCATTGATGCTCAGTATGAAGAGGCCCTTTGATCTACTACTCCCTGCTACACTTCACTACACTGCTGCAGATGTCTCTCTGACTCGGATACTGAGTCGCTCTTTGGCCGCCTCATTAGAACCTAATTCGAGTGATGAAAGATGTTTTAAGGACGTTAACATAAGCGCTGCAGTTTGTGAATTCATATGAGATATGTTTAAAATTAATATATTATATGCTACTTTTGTGTTTCCCCCTAAAAAAGTAAAATAATAAAATGCATGTCAGATTTTGCGAAAACTTGTTGTACATAGTTGCAAATCATTGAGAAGTTTATTCTCATCGTGGTTTAGGAAAGTTTAGATTCTATCCGATGATGTAATTTTCTACAATTTAAGTTTTACTCAAGTCGCCTAAATGAACATCAAACGTTTCTGTTGTATCGTACCGTCCATGTTCCACTGATAATTTCCTTTTTTTCACAGGCATCTTTCACTATATTATAAACGTGATATAATCAGTTCTTGGCAATGTTTCTCATCTAACAATATTTCCATCCGATGATAATTGGCCATTGCCTCATCAAAATCCCAGCTTAGAATACATTAAAAATAGATAAATCCCATTGATTTGCATAAGCTACAACTCGGCTGGCCATCACAATGGATAACTTCAGTCTCCACAATTTCTCCGAGTCAGGACCACATTCTGTTATTGTACCAAATTCATCCCTACGCTGTGCTCACGGTCAGTTAATGACACAGGTAACGTCCTAACAAATAATTAACTTTGCCTTGTTTAACAGGTAATTTTTTATCCAAACTAATAATTAGCCTTTCCTCTTTAAAAAGATAAACTCTTATCCAAACTAGTAATTAGCTATAGAAAGGTAAATTCTTGTCCAAGCTAATAATGAGAATTTGAAACCGTGTAAACCAAACTTGCAGTCATTCGGAATGTTTAAAAAATACATTCGTGTCTATCTTGAAGCAAAGGATGAGCGTTTACACGTCGTCTGCGTGTAATTGTTCGTTGACGGTTTCATTTTTTGTTTGCGGAATTATTTTGGTACTGGCAATTGCAGCGTCAGTGGATTATTAAACACAACTACCAATTATTTGCATTGTTTGAAGATGCACACCATTTTGATATCGTACTAGAATTAAAAGTTTAGTCAAATAACCGTCAATAGCCAAAAATCTATTTAGACCAGGAGGAAAATAAATGGTCATACGTATACGTATTTGTGTACAAACACCCCCATGAACAATGTACCTAATGGAACACTATTACTATGTACCTATACACAACCAACTTGTTAAATTTCTCACTTGAAAGTTGGAAAAGCTACAGCCTTACACTCTTTCATCAATTGCGTCGAAACTTTTAAAGTATGCTTTAGCCAAGGCAGACTGGATGCACTCATTTGAATGTCCCTATAGAGAAGATGTGATAAAAACCCTAACCCAGTGGAGGCAGAGTGACTGGTTTACGTAACTTATGCAGAGCGACTTTCAGATGACCATACGCTAAGCTATTGTTGTCCTTACGCCTAGCATGAAGAGATTTCCTGAGGAACTTTACAGTCATCTCTGTGTTCTCTTTCGAAAAGGATCGGTAAAGTATGGAGCAAGTATAATGAGTTACTTGGAGATGATGATATGAGAAGTGTTTCTCTGAATGGAAACGAGTCATAGTGTTGCATGGTTAAGCTAGGTTCGTCGATGTACATCTTGTACTCTGCATAATACATGTTGACTTTGAGTGTTCCTTATTTTGATATCTCGCGGCCAATTGCATGTAGTTGAGAGAGCGATCTTACCGAAGTGTATATATGATCTTACAGCAGTGGTATATCTGGGTAAGCTATTATGGCCTAACTAAATGAAATGCCAAAATTTGCTATTGAGATAGGGGGAAGACTCTATTCCAGAATTTGTTTATACATAATTCCATGAGAAATTTAAAACAACGGTTATTAATAATGATACGAAGAGCAAATTTTTTTCTAGAATCAAGCACTTGCCGTCCTAATGAAGTTTTACTTAATTCCTCGTTCCAATAGACTCTAGTAATGGTGTGACATTAGAGCTCCTGCATGAAGTCCACTCATCTTTACTTATTTGTATACTTATGGTAATTCTAGCTACCATGTCTTTATATAGTAATAACAATGACTAATGTTAATGTTAATTAAATGTTTCAATTAAAATGCTCTCTAGGCGAGCTGTTAAAACAAAAGTCCCGAAAATTAATCCAATTTTGTTACTTATTTTGAGTAAACAGTAAAAGGTATTGTACTGTTTTATAATTTCGAATGAAATCAGGAACTAGCATTAAAACCCTGGAATTTTTGGTTATTAAACTGCGTTGTTACTTGCAGGCATTCATCCTAAACGGTCGTATCCAAGATCGCCTGAGCCCCACTGCAGTCACCCTGGGAAAACAAACGCACAAATTCGCTGCAAACAAGAAATTCGTTCACCAAATTCGCGTTCTCCATCGATTGAGACTGCGGGGAGCCCAAGTAAGAGACCAGCTCACGGTAACGACAGTTACTTACTTGGGGGAGAGTGTATGAGTTTTGAAAGGATGGTCAATTCTCCCATGAACATGTTCCCTCCGATGCCCATACCTTTGCGAAGGAAGTCGGACTCAGACGCTTTTATGAGGAGTTCACCCGATTCCTTCATGTCGCCATCGTCCACGCCTGTCAGCCCAAATTCACCCGGGATGCCGAACAGTGGAGCGGCAAACTCATTTCAAGAAGATGAATTTAAATTAAGTGTTCCCCAAACGCCGGACTCTACAGTAACGATGTCGCCGCCGGACAGCGTGCGCTCTCTGCAGTCCAACGACTCGCCTCTGTCACAAATGGGTACGCCAATCTCGTCTCCGATGCCGTTTCATCCTAGGAGTCCGGAAGGATCTGCACGCCCCGGGGGCGAGGATGAGCATTTCATCCGCGTTAGGCCACACTTGGCGTCGCCCCCTGCGGCCCCAGGGGCGCCGTGCATGATTTGCAGCGACAAGTCGACGGGAAAACACTACGGGGCTCTGAGCTGCGACGGATGTAAAGGCTTCTTCAGGAGGTCAATAAGGAAGGATAACACTTACTTGTGCAGGTAAGGAACCACGAAAAAGATGCATTGGAACCATTACTTACCTCTAAAGTATTTTACAAAAATGTACATTTGGAAAAATTCTTTGGTTTTAGAGTAAGAAGTAAAATCGTGGAATACTATATAAAAAGATTTAATAGCATGAGTCGTTGACTACAAATATTTTACGATTCTTACGGTTTATTTTGTGTCGTCGATTTAAAATATATTGTTAGAGAGCTTTCTTACATGATTCCTTGTTCAATCCAAGCGAGGTTATTTTTCTCAAATATAATAACCAATTTTGTTTATATAGCAGGATACCTGGAATTTATTTCTTACTTTATTTTAGGTTCGATAGACGCTGCAACATGACCAAGGATCGTCGCAATCAATGCCGTCACTGCAGACTCAACAAATGCCTTGAGGTTGGCATGAAGAAAGAAGGTGCGACAATAAAATAAATATGCCACTATATAGAGTCTTTAATTATATATATTTGCATTAACAATAAATTTCTGCAAATTTGATTGAAGATCAGAGAATTCTTTTGATTGTTTTCTTGCTTGTTTCTCTGGTCTTCAATCAACTTGCACAAAGGAAAAACTTCTGCCAAACTCGCTAATAAGCGTTGCTCTTCATAATTTCCTGCGACCTGTTTTTTTGGGGTTAGGAATTAACTATAAATTATAGATTTTTTATCACGACGAAGATATCAACAGCATGAGAAAACTCTGCTGAAAAATATGATTCGATGAAGCTTGTCAAATTTTCTCACACTCAATTAATAAAGGAAAAATTGGAGTTGAACTAAAATTAGGCTTCGCTTAGAATAGGGAAATGAAAGCAACTACGTACACTGAAAACCTAGACAGATCGAAAAAACATACGTAGATAAATCCTGTCCCTGAAAAATCATAAAAATTACCTCATTCACCTTCTTCATTAACATTCAATCACTTGACTCTCTAAATGCTCAAATACAAGCGAACGCTTAAACTGGGTGTAAATATTTTCATTGGGCTCCTAATTTTTTTAATAATCAAGAATTGCGCCTATTTTTTTCTCTAAATATATAATTCAGACTGACGATATAATTTTTTTCAGAAAGATGTAATCAAGATTTAAATGTAGTATCTCATTTTATTAAGTTTTTAATTTTGATTTGTTTGTGCAGCGGTGCAGAACGAGCGTGACCGCATCAGCCACCGCCGTGCAGGCCCCGCCGCCACGTCTACCCCGAAACACCAGCCGGGGTCCCCGCCCCCGCAGCCCCCGCCGCTACCGCCGCCGCTGCCGCCGCTCGCCAAGAGTAGCATCTCGCTCGAAGTCCTGCTCGCCGCCGAGGCTCACTTCAGGGTGGTGAGCAGCAATGTAGACTTCAGGGTGGTGAGCAGCAATGTAGACTTCAGGGTGGTGAGTAGCAATGTAGACTTCAGGGTGGTGAGCAGCAGTGTAGACGTCAGGGTGGTGAGCAGCAGTGTAAACTTCAGGGTGGTGAGCAGCAATTTGTGAAGAAAGGAATTTTTAATGCGTATTAAATTTAGTACATACGCATAGTTCTCTCCCACACTGAAAGTATGCTTTTCACCCGCACTGTTTTCATGCTCTCATGTTATAAACCGTGATTTATTCTGACATTTTCGTTAAGTCTCACTTACGCACAAGTCCGTAAGCTGTTCGAGTTTTAAGCGAAGTCCGTCTAAAACTTTTAAAACCTTTTTATAAATTCATGAGCTGGCTCGTGCAACGCATTTTATTTAGGCAGTGCAAAATCTTGAAAGTTGTGGCAAACGAAGCTTAGAACATTTCTTCCTGTCGGTCAGTGATGATGATACTTTACATTTATGTCTTCCATCTCACTTACTAAGAGTTATGCTAATAATAAATTAGGATGAAATTTTTAGTTCCCGTGGAGAACTGTAAATCATGAGTAGAAGTAAAATTTGGTTTAAAAATTTCGTGAGAAAGTCATGATGACATTACTTAATTAGTATAGACAAGGAACTGGAGCTGTTTAACTGATTACGGAAAATTAAATAAACATACATACAAGTACATAATTTAAATTTGAGTGAATTGTTTCATAATTCGCAATTTTTGAACCTTTACAAACAAAAATGTGTAGTTTCAGTTTAAAATGTAATCCAATATCATAACATAATAACGGATACATAGACATCCAAGGATTCTAATCTAATTGTAAATATAAATTATAAACTTAAACTTTAAGTTGCATCGTCAATGTGACAACAGTGAGTTGAAATTTACTGTCTCAGGCTTAATTTGAATTGAATTCGGCAAAAAACTGTAACCCGTGCCCCGTGTGTGCACTTACACCTCTATTCAACTGGAGAATTTTATATTAGTATTAAGTGAGTTTTTATTAATAATTGATTTGACGATTCCAATCGAAACAAGTCATTACAGCTGGCACCTGAACTCCAGGCGAATAGGAACATGTGATCAGTAAAAATTATGAAATTTCTTGTCAAAATTAGCCTATAATGTTGGGCCTGCACGGCCTAATAAAAGCCGAAACTACTACAATGATCATTATCAGAGTTAATATGTTATAATATAATGTAAAGTAATATAATAAATATAATATAATATAATATAATATAATATAACATAACATAATATAACATAATTGTAAGAGCCCACTGCCCCGACAGACCAGCGAGCGGCGGCTGGAGGAGATGCGGGCGGAGGGGCGGGGCCCCCACATCTCGGCCGTGGGGGGCGACATCGCGTCGCTGGAGGACGTGGCGGAGAGCGTGAAGCAGCAGCTCTACGGCCTCGTAGACTTCGCGAAGTCGCTCCCGCAGTTCAACTCGCTGCACTTGGAGGACAGGGTACTTTTTCGAAGAAAAATACCATAGATATTTTTCGGACGGTCGAGTATTATATTGCAACAATTAAATCACATTATTAATAAAAATTTATTTCATAATGATTAAGGCCGTTATGCAGTTCAGTTCGCTGCACTTGGAGGACAGGGTACTTTTTCGAAGAAAAATACCCTAGATATTTTTTGGACGGTCGATTATTATATTGCAACAATTAAATCATATTATTTATTAAAATTTATTTCATAATGCCTAAGCCCGTTCGACAGTTCGATTCGCTGTATTTGAAAGACAGAGTATTATATTGCAAGAACTAATCATGCATTACAAGGTGAAACAATTTCTTCAATAACGCCAAAGTCTATTCGCAGTTAAATTCTCATCATTTGGAAGACAGGGAATTGGGTAACATGTTATATTCTAATGTGATGTGCAGTAGCAATAATTAAAGCCATGGGACTGAAAATCGAGATTATCAAGTTAACTGGAAATTGAATATTTTCCGATAGAAGAATCACCTTATAAATTGGCATAAATTTCTGTCTAAAACGAAAATAAGAAATATATTGTTTTAAAGTGACCTTTATCGCCCAATGCTTACAATCATTGATTAGATGGAGAATAACGCACGTGCGCTATAGGCCCATAACTTAATCAAGTTTATCTCCATGACTGTTTAGTGACAAAAAATAATAAAAATTATATAGATATGTTAAGACGAGTACGATAGTAATAAACAGTATAATTATAGTTCAATTTTTCTAGAAAATTGGTTGCCTCATCGAAAAAATCTTTGTTAATGCATAATGTTTTGACAGATAAAGCTGCTCAAGGCTCATTCTGGAGAACATCTTTTGCTGGGAATAGCTTGGCGCAGTCTCGCAACAGACGGGTGAGAATTTTTAATAACTATGAAGCTTTTTTGAGTACGAAGATAATTTTCAACTAAAGCTAATTTCATTGCATTCACTCGGAGAAATAAGTTCAATTTTAACCAAATGCACTATTTTCTCTTATGTAAATCAACGTGACCCAGTTGGGTTCGACATATAGGCATATTAGTGCTTCGTCTGCTCACTGTCGACGTAGAGAGAAGTGGGTAAATAGTGGGTCACAATTTTAAAACATGCCGCATATATTTTTACGAGCATTACCTCGGGTCAATTGTGATTCGAAAATATCGCCAAATTCAGTGCCAAAATCTGTCTGAGAAATAAATGCGAATCAGCTCAAAAATATAATGAATCCGGTGCATGTAAATATTTGACTAAAGTATTCAAGGTACAATGAATGTATTGCAGGTACTTGTTGCTGGGTATCAATAAGCGCATACCGCGCCTCGAGAACGGAGTCACGGTCCCACACGGGCGCCTAAATAACGCAGGTACGTTATTTATTATTACTTATTTAGTTATTAAATAACAGCTTTAATTAATTGTAAGCAATTTGTACAATATCAATAACTGGTTAGCTATTAATTGAATTGCGGCAGCAGTTGGCGTCGAAAAATGTGGAGGATTTATTAATATCAAATATCATAGATAAAGGGATAACATTTTAAAGCAATAACATGGAAGAAATAATTTAATAAATTGTCGATGAATTAAGTAATTGGAACGTTCAGAGAAATAATGAACTGACAACGATATGCGTAAGAAATCGGAAATTGACAAATCAAAATGGCCCCGTAGGTGGAGGAGAGCTGTAAAACTTGTTAAATTCAACAGTAAGCAAATTATTCAAGATCAAGCAAGAAGGTTTGGAACACTATTTGAAAAGACGTGAAAGGAAAGAACAGGAAGCATAATTTTCAGTCTCTCAAGAGCTCCTTGTTTGACGTTTTAAATAATATCTTTGATTTATGAGCTATCCTGCTTGTTTTCTTAGCTTTACGGGTCATATAACAAACTTTGTGCAAGATCAGACATTTATGTCGAAAAGTCAATTATATCCGTACGCATATTTTCTCAGGTCATGTTGCTGAACATGTTCATTAATGAAAATATCTGATGACAAAATTTCAGCAGCTAACAATGCATTTAATGGACCATAAACTCGCTCAGCCTCAAAATATTTCCTCGCATTTGAGAAATTCCAACAGCCCTGAATTGACATGAACTTTGCGTGTCAAGAGCGCTTTCAACATGATTTCTAAACAGAGACAAGCCAGAAAGGCTGGTCTCTGTTTATCTTTGGTCTTCGAATACTTTATGGTCTTTGAATAATTCATCGGGCAAGTGATCATATTTGATAACAATGTTGAACTTACGTGAAGCCTGTGGATCATGGTAATTATGGCATCATAATATAAAAATAAAACATTTAAAATACGGGTAGCAAGACAATTTAAAACAAAGCTTCGATTTAAAATTTTAAACGATAGAGTAATTGATGGAAGTGTAATGAGATTATTGATTGCCTTCACTTTGCAGGAGGAAATTTATCCCGCATCTTATCACTAACAATAAGACATTGAACGAACAAAAAGAGAAAAGGGCGTCGAAGTTCCAATAAGTTATTAGAAAAGGAATAAATCGTTGAAATTTTACCCCTCTAGACAACGACACTAAAACAACGTTAATAACAAGCTAATATTGTTGAAACAGCGTTTTTATCAACTTTATTTCAGCGTTAATTTTTAGGTGCGATATAACTACAACTGTAATAGATATATACCTGTAAATTGTAAATATTGTAATTTGCCGGCAGCTACAACTGTTATAGATATATATCTATAACTACAACTATAGTTATAGTTATAGTGTATAACCGGATAACGATAGTTATAGTTATATATCTTGTAATCCCCTAGACCTTAATTTTCGACACAAGTCTTGCAAAAGGTTTTATTGATAATCTTCTGACAACACGTACTTTTCTGCAAGATGAATGCAGTATATTGACAATCCAATAATTTAAATATTTCGAAGCAAAAATATAAGTATAGAAATTAACAATCCAAGCATTACAGCACAAAAAGTTAGCATCACTAATTCTGACAATAATTTATGAAGCAGTTGGAGCACGATTCTAACTCGCCGAAGTAATTCCCTCCTAATGTATATATGAATTGATTGCAAGACATGGGCTGACAGCAAACTTCGGTACTAGGGAAAAGGCGACTGAAAGTTGGAACAAAAAGTTAAAAGAGGCATCTCCATGAAATTGCCATTACATATCTATAGCTGTAACCAATATATATGTTGTCAATTGTCGGCAGCGTGGGACGTTTCGACGGCCAACATCAACTGGATAGCCTCGAGGGTGTTGGACGACATTGCCAAGCCGCTGCGCCAAAACCAAGTTAACGACCAGGAATTTCTCTGCCTCAGGACCATGATTTTTTTCGATCCAAGTGAGTAATTGCCGCGAGGTGTTACTGAGTCGGGGCATCTGACCGCGCCATGTGCTAGAGGCTGCGAGATATTTCACCAGAATGAGTTATTTCAAGCAAAATATAACAGGATTTTTCAGTGATTTCTAATAACTGTAAGAGTGAATTTCTTGGGCTTGAGTCTATCGAGTTCATATCGAATTTGAGTATATTCCAAGTGAGCTTTGAATATATTCGAGTTTATCTGATAATGCGAGAAAATTTCGTGAAAATTGTATATTTAATGTATATTCACGCTTGTGTGTCGTCTCGAAACATCTTTTATGAATTTTTGTTTGATGAGCTCAAACATGTTACTGTGACAGGCAACATGCTTGTCGTGTCGAGCATTCATTTTAATGTTTGCGCTCTTCAATGTTCAGTAAAAAATGTGTCCTTAATTAATCTGTATAGTACTGTAGCAGGGCTTTCAATTTCCGTCTTATCATTACATTTTTTATTGTAGACATTTAAAGAGATTGCCTGCCGCAGTGCTGTTGATTTCTGTACAATTGTCACAATTTTATTTGTCAAACTGGAAAGATTTCGCCTGCTCTCAGTGCTGCACGACCTCATGATTTTGGAATACAAATTAGTTATTTAAATAGCCAGATTTTGGTTTAAACTGTGCCCCATTCCTGCCCACAGTGCTGACAATTTATCTATAATTATCACAATTTTATTTGCAAAAGAATGAAGAGTTCGTCTGCCCGTAGTGCTGTTCATTTATGCATGATTATCACATTTTTGTTTGTAAAAGTAAAAGAAATTCGCCTGCCCGCAGTGTTGCACGACCTGAAGGACCGCGAGTCGGTCCAGCAGAGTCGCCTGGAGGTGCAGTTGCTGCTGGAGGACCTCATAGCTAAGAGGTCTCAGGTGCCTGCGCGAGGTCGGCTCGGCCAGATCATGTTCATGCTGCCTTACCTACAGACCATCTCGCAGGCCATGACTCAGCAGATCCAGATGGTCAAGAAAGATGGCGTCCAGAGCATCGACAAGATCATCTCGGAAATGCTGCTTGGATGTAAGCAAGAGCAACAGGACTCGAGTGAAAATAAAACTGAATCATAAGCTGTCATTTGACTGGTTTTGGTAACGCGGCATAGGATGGGATGTCTTTCCTTTTCGTTCTAACCCATGGCTTGGTGATTTTCTTTGAAACTTCAAATGATTTCTCTTTTTCTCTCTTGGTGGAGCATGCAGGATTAAGTGTGGTCTCTCGTGTGCATGTGTTATTCTGCAATTTAGATTAAGTCTTAAGTAATCGGACTCCTGGGAATCACTTCTAAATAGAAGCTAAATTCCAGTAATCTACTTCGAACCCTTTTTTATGGGTTAAGAGAATTTTTGGAACGATTTTGATGTTCCAAACAATAAGGAAATGCTTTGAAACATTTTGGTACACGATTCAAAAAATATAAAATCAATTACCGGTATACCTAACAGCTGGGTGGGAATCCTCTTGCGAGAATGATTTATAACAAATGATATTATTCCCTTGACTTCTTCTTTATTTTTGGGGGAGAGAGGGGGAAGCTCTACTCACCGTTTCCAGGACTGTTTATTTGCTATTAGTCTAAATTTTTTTTCAACGCACGCCTAATGAAATCAATGCAATTTCACTTCTTACTTGGAAGAGACTTTGGTTACCACCTACTCGAAGCTCATTATCTGATCCAAACCCAGAAATTAAAATTTTAGACAGTTGCAAGCACGTTTAGAGAAATGTGTGAGAATTTGTCCGAAAAGAGATGCACTTATTGCCCTCGTGTTACGCGCGATGCATTATAGACATTCACAAGTCGCTCCGCTTTTCGCACCGTTTAATTAACATTCGCTAGTTCGGAATTCGAAATTCATGATGTGTGATCTACTATTTTCATATTGGAGGAAATTCCAATTTTTTCTCTACATCCAGCATATAATTTAGGTAAATTAAGTTTTCCATGACATCAATACTCCTACTTTTGTAAACCTTTTTAATCTGAAGGCGGAATGTAACCCATGACAAGACCTAACATTTGCTCTCTGGGCCGAGTGCTCGAACGCTTGAAATGAAAATCTGTGATCGTGTAACTCTTGATGACACAGTTAGTTGTAATTCCAAGATAGAAATACTCAGGGAAATGTTTCGTATTTGATCCATTGTAGATAGATTTTTATTTCGAAATTTTATCCATCAGGCATCTGACGTTGAATTAACGTTCATTAAACATTGTTTAATGGAAATAAATACGCCATGAACGTTTTTTTAACATCTTTTACCATAAGGGATTAAGTTCTGTAGTTTTTAAGAAAGTTTTATTCTGACTTATAATTCTTATTTTTCTAATAATTTTCATTAATTTTTCTTATATATTCCGTAAGTAATCTCTGGATCAAATATATTGAGGCATTATATTTTAAAATATGAAGATACAATTAAGGCAAGCTGCGGTGCTGCGCGAAGGGTTTTTCGCGAAGGTCTTTGTCAACCCTCTACCGCCGTATGTCACTCTCCGTGAACATAACTTTCAACTTAAATTATACGTAAACTATTGAGTGTAGCAACCTGAGGACATTTGTACGCAACAGAGAACATTTTAAAGTTGTCGTACGTGGCGGCAACCATCAGTGCAAGTCATTTTGCGCTCACTAGAACGTATCCTTTTTGGGAAGTGGGCGCGTGACAATATTGCTCCGGTTACTCCTGTCAGGCGGTAGAGGGTTAATCCTTGCATCGCCTCATCTATTTCCTAGCCTTGGTAGGGAAATTAGCCTCATCATTTGCACTGCCTCGTGTGTTTCTTAGCCTTATAAAGGGAAATTATTTTTGTCATTTGCGTTCGTTTTTTTCCTAGTATTGGGAGGGAAATTAGCCTCGTCATTTGCACAGCCTCGTTTTTTCTAGTCTATCTGGGGAGGGAAATTAGCCTCATCATTTGCACTGCCTCGTGTGTTTCTTAGCCTTATAAAGGGAAATTAGCTTCGCTATTTGCATAGCCTCGCGTTACCTAGTCTGGAGAGGGAAATATGCTTCGTCATTTTCTTTAAGCGACATGTGAACATTTCATTCTCGATAGTTGTTGCTGGATATTTTCCCATGGTGAGGGGATAGTCTAAATATTTTGAGTAAGATAATTAATTATACTGTGAACTACGTAACTACTTCATTTTTCGTATAACTATGCTATAATTTAAATTCTAGATTTATCAAACACATACCCATGAATGGTCCACGTAAGCTAGGTATATCCTATTTTAGATTATTTTAAGAGTTCGGCCGCTGTGTATTCGCTCTTAAAGAATTCGTTTCATTGCTAGTAGAATTATATAATATAATTAACTTTGTTTAAATTATAGTCCGCATGTCTGTCAGTGTGGAGCCAAATCTTGTGTGACGATTTCTGTTTCTTCCGTAAATCTCAACCATGAAACACAGACTCATATTTCGTACTAACGTGTTATGTTTAGTTGAACTTTAGCGTGCTCTTAACAACATGTTTCCGCATCCCACAAGTTTTTTAGATTATAGCGAGAACTTTTGTTACTTTCCGAATTAGAAGTTGAGATTTTAAATCTGATCTTCACTCATGCATAAAGGGGTGGGCCATCCATCCTTTGGGCTGATTAACCAATACTCAGTGCATATTAAATGTAATCAAGGCTCATTATGATTAGAGTCTTGACTACGACTGTGCCAACCGGCCCCCAGTGTCGCTAATGCAAGAGTACATTCTTGACTACGACTGTACCCATCGGCCAACATTTTCCTTCCCTAATGCAAGAGTACATTCTTGACTACGACTGTACCCATCGGCCAACATTTTCCTTCCGTAATGCTAGAGTACATTCTTAACTCTGACTGTACCCATCGGCCAACATTTTCCTTCCCTAATGTAAGAGTACATTCTTGACTCTGAATGTACCTATCGGCCAACATTTTCCTTCCCTAATGCAAGAGTACATTCTTGACTCTGACTGTGACCATTGACCCACAGTGTCGAATGCACATTCCTTTACTCTTCAAACTCCAACATACCGTCATGGTTATCAAACCAAAGCACAGACTAGGATCAGGATAAGGATCGATTTATGTACATGTAAGGAGCACAACTGATGAATTCAAGTTCATTAGGTATGCAATATTTGTAAACTTCTTATTTTCTGGTCTTTACTACCAATGCCAAATATCCAACAAACTATTAAACCTAATCAAATCAAATTTATTTATTCAGTTACAATATTTTTGGTCAATAATGAGTTGAAATATTCTTGGATCACTGGTTCTGTTTTACCTAGTTTAATAGCCATTATTATTTTTAGCTACTGGTAATGCAAGACTCTTTTATTGTGGCACATAGACCTTTAAATTAATTAAACTATTTTTACATTTCTCCAAAGTATTCCTATCCTTACTGCCTCCCACCTCGCGCAAATACTTCCAAAAGGGTCTTGCTTACTAAGTCCGCCACCACTGCTTAATTCATATTTGTTACTCAAACGAAACATTTTTCTTCAATTCCAATTTTGCAGCCAAATGAATTCTATATGAATTGAATGATGCAACCTTAGCACTGATTAATAATAATTAAACAAGCAAAATATTCGAATTGATCCGCGATTTGAACAAACTAAACATTATTTCTGGAAATAAATTATATTTTGCTTTTTTGAAAACATTTTTCGACGTACTATATAACATGCATGCACCAGAGAATTCTCTACATGTTCAACGACGCTAATCCTTCTTGTTGCTAACATTCGTTGCTAAACAACTTCGGGTTTTATTGTTTTGATGCCTGAATTCCCCTCAAAGGTATGTATGTTACCATCTGTTCTGCTTTGCTGAATAATGTGGGAATGGCTCACTTACTAACTTAACAGTTTCATCTGTGCAATTTCCGCTGTTGTCCGTCTTGGATGCATTTGTTTCGTGCTAAGGATCCTTCAATTGAAAGGATAACGGTTAAAATGAAGGTCATTTCATTTGAGCAATATCGTCATAAATTTTATAAATTTGCCAGCCATTCTGTTGATTTCAGTTTTGTAGAGAATTGTCGAACGGTATAGACATTATTTTTGTATAGAATGAATATTATGTTGATTTCAGTTTTGTAGAGAATTGTCGAACGGTATAGACATTATTTTTGTATAGAAATAATAGAAAAACCACATTCGCTAAGAAAAGAGCGGTTATCGTTCTGGAATTATGCTTAACAATCCACCTCATTCAGCAGCGTGCCTTCACGCCGAGCAGTGCAACGTACTCGTGCCACGGTATGCGGCCATTTCTGTTTCTATCTTTTCGTATAAATTTGATCGTTCCATTCGAAATAATATTTTTTAGTTGGCGACCAACATGAAAAATTACTTCTATGGCAAAAGACGTTCAGATGATTCCTGGAATACTAAATAATTAATAAAAAGTGCATTTTTGCTTGAATATTCAATGAAATTAAAATATTTACGATTCAAAAGATTTCGTAGATTTTTCTTATCGATAGTTGCTTTCCGATAAAAAAGTAGAGTTTTTCAAAATAAATTAAGCGGAAATTCATTACGAGGTGAAGGCGTTTAGGCGGAATCGAATCGATGCTTCTGATAGTATTACATTTTTCTTCAATTCCAATTTTTACATCCAATTGATGAATGAGGCTAAGACTCGGACGACTGACATCCATAAACTCAAATCTCGCTAAGCTCTCCAGCAATACCTAAGTTTATCTCATCACAAGGTAGCGTAGTGACCAAATTTTCATTTAAGCCACCTAGTGATCAAATAGTTAATTTGTAACGAGCGCACGAAGATATTGTATATGCTATTTCGAGTAACCCTTGCAAACGCTATTGTCTAGAGCATCCGCCCGTTTCTCACTACGGGCGTTCGAGTATTGAAATTGAATTCGTTCAATTGTTCATTGGTTTCTAGTGGTGAATAGCCAAGCTTTGTTATCGACTCCTTATCGACGATGCCGTGAAACTGGTCGATATATAGAAAATTGGTACCGTACGTGCGATAGAATCCCGGGGCTTCGTGTTAACAATGCAAACCTCTTATTATTGATCAGCTTTCATTATGGATGATACAACGCAATGAAAGTAAAGAAATACTAGGTTTCCATATGAAGCAAGTAGAAAACTAAACGAAACTTAAATTAAATGAAAATCAGTCAACATTAAAAACATTTTACGACATTTTTGTATCGCCAAACTTTTATGTATAATTTATTCAACTCGTTGATAATATCATCATGGCTTCAATGATTTCTTACCGCAAAGCGTGAGCCATTATCTGCCAGGGTGAACGAGAAAAAGTGATCGCTTCTTTATCTTCTTCGTTAGGGAATATAGCTGATACGGTGTGCAAAAAATGTATCTTCTTTTTCATAATTAACACTTGAGAGTAATGTTGGCTTCACAGCAAATCTAGCGTTAAGCACGCATTGTGATGATAGCTACGACCCCATAAACACAATGAAATTAATTTCAAACAAATTAACGTGCAATTTTATTTTTGAGTGACTTATGTTTGCTCTTTTTTGTAAGTTTTGAATTGATGTAATTTTTAATTTCGAGTTAGTAAGACTTCGCTTAAGTTTAATTTTTTTTTATTTTAAAATCAAAATAAAGTAATCCTCGTAGACCTTTTGCACTTGAGACTTTAGTAGTAGTACTGAGATTATAATCGGTCTTTACGTTTTCTTAGCTTTCCAGGAAGATGAGAAGGATGATTGCCATGACACCCTGCCCTCGCCTCTCATCACAATGGTGCCCCATCCAACGTCTCGTCCCGAGTGTCGTGCTTATGAAGAAAGTCCCCCGACATCCGACGTCCATGATCGACGTCAAGTACGTTCACCGTCGTCAGCAGAACCATGCGACCTCAGCTACCACCACGACCAACACGAGACGTTCAACGGGTACGGTGATCCTGGCAAACGGGATCTTGAACACTTTGGTCGGGGGCATCGTGGCCAAGAAAACGCGTACGGCGAACATGAGGATGAACGCCACCGGCGTGTGATGACTGGCAATGAACACTTCGATAATCATGATTACTACCGTCGGGTTAAGCAATGCGTCTTGGCAAACGACTTGGATCGGGCTTCGAATTTTCGTGAAAATGACGGGGTCCCGGATGTTGCTGTGTCTGAAGAACGAACATATCATCTGATGGGTTCTTCTCTTCATACTTCGAATCCGAAAATACAAGTAACAGGGGAGTTCACTGCCAACAATTACACTCGGGCCGAGATGTCGAGACATGATATCGAACGAAGCCAAATGATTCAGCCTTCCTCGACGCTCATTGACCTTTCCAGCGGGAATATGACGCATCGAATAGCTGATGTTCACGACGGCCGGCAGTCTTATGAAGCAATGGAACACTCAACACTCGAGTGCATGGACGCCGCTCCTCTCAACTGTTCGGAACACAGCACTGCAGCCAGGATACATGGGCCATATAACGGCAGTGAACATCGCTCAGTGCTGCCAGGTAGAGCAGAGCATCTCGTTGCTCTGTCCAACAGGGTCCATAGCGATGAATTGCTTCGATGTGACGGCGGTATGGCAGTGGATGAGAGGCCTGACAGGCAGTCAATAGGCAATGTCGCAACAAACGGTGACGCGATGTCGCACTCGAACGAATCGGAACGAAGGGTCGAATACCGAGACTCTGCTCGAGCTGAACACTATTCAGGATTTGAGGCATACCATAGATCTCCTGATCATGTGATAAGAAATTATGCCTACACTGACCGTTTGGCTCCACAGTTGCCTCTTAACTTGCGACAACGTTTGACTGATAGATGAAGTTATTCGAGCCATGGTTCGTTCTCAGGAACTAATGTAGGTTGTATAATTATAATGTTCTCATACTGAATTAAGGAGCTTTTAGTCGTGATATAAAAAGCATATTTTTGCTTTCAGTAGCGTATTGTTTCAAGCAAAAATGCGAATTGCAAAAAACGATCAAACTGGCATCTAAAAAATATTTTTGTTAACAGATTGATGAAATATTTTTTGAAGGAATCTGTGCGAATCCTTGAATGTTTTATGCTTTCATACCTGAGTCATGATTTATGTGAAATAAATAATAATTCTTCAGGTTACGAAAATGTCATACGAATATTTATGCATCAAATCAAAACTTTGCTTCATATATATTCATCTTTGTTCGGCGTGTCCTCAGTTGACTGACGTTTTTTCAAATCACTGCAATTCTGTTATGTAAATATCTTATAAACAAAATAATGGTACAAATGATTTTAAATTATATCACTGAGCAATTATCATGTTAATGCCTTGTGAACTTTGCTGTTTAATTTGCTTCAAACTTGGCCGCTTTGTCTTGGCCTCTTTGTCTTTAGCTTGAACTTTTACAATCGACATTAAATTCCGGTGACATGATTAGGACCAGCAACAGCTTTAATTTTGTCACATGTCTTGCATAGGAGTAACACTCAGAGAAATTGTCGAGACTTTGTTCAAATAGAGATACACTTTTACTATTGTGTGGGACATCCTGACATCGTTTGGCACGGCTTAAGGGCATTTCCATCTCTCTGCTCGTGCTGTGGGTAAGAAAGTGTGTCATTTTTTGGAAAATATGACCCATTCATTTTCTGAGTGTTAAATGATAGGAAAATGGACATGTTGCTTGAATATTTATTTACTTAACAAAATTTAAAACAAATTTCTGGCGTACAGGTTGAAATGCTGTGTTTGTAATGCTCATTTACAAGTTTTTCAACACTCCGAATCTTGCAAGAAACTTAGAAACTGCCTTACATGTGCTTTTGAATTTTGACTTTATTTTTTTTATAGTTAATGAATAAGTAGCCAGGTGGTTATATTTTATTTGCAAGTATGTTTATTATGAGCCTAAATTAGTTCATAATGGAAGTCGATGTTGCGGCTTTATAACACAGCTTATATTAGAAAAATATAAATCACGAATATAATCGGGAACAGCAGTCGCTTGCCATAACCGACATTTTTACACTAGCCTGATAATAATGGTTAGCTACTATTTACGTACGCAAGCTTGCTGTTCATAATGTCGCTGTATAGGAGTGAGTTTTCTTGCTCGTATATATGATCTTAGATTCTGGTAACGATTAGGTTCAGAGTTTAACAACATTTGCTATTATATGGATTTCTAAACGACGATGAGTCTAAATAATTGAAGCCGTTAGTAGAATTTGAAATCCAACTTACGTTAAAAAATCATGTTACAATAAAAGATGAGCAACAGCGTTGTAAATTGTCACAAATAAGTTATTGATCAAGAACGTTCAGTCCGCACGTTCTTCTCGAGCTAGCCATTTCGGTTCCTAACGTCATCATGCAATGCCTTTTAAGGTTTGGATTCCGTTCCGTAATATTTCAGGTTAGCTTCACAGAGATATTCAGTTCAGGTGGAAATGTAAGCTTCGGTTTAGATATTCTGGCGGAGCATGTCAAGTTTTAATGGAGCTTCTATGTTACGTTAGATCGAGTATGAGGCAATTTTAAGAAACTGCAGGTTGACGGTAACTGATAGTACGTCCTTATTTATATCAGAATTGTTATAGGCTATGCCTACTGGCCCATCTTAGGAACAAGCTTCCGTGTGCTTTGTTTTAGGGAATTTTTAAATTATACAAATTTAAAATTTTACAGCAGAACTATAGACTGGAATGAAAACATAAGGTCGTGAATTCTACATCATGACTATAACCTCATCACTTGTAAACTCAGACTCAGTTATTTGTTAGAAGGAATTGAAGAAGATGGAGTATTAAGGCATGATTGCTTTGAATAAAGTTTGCAACTGTTAGAAACGGAAAGAAGGTTCACTTAAATGTTCGTGTCTGAATTTATATCAGCCCCTCAAATATACTTCAGACCAATTAGTGTTCAAAATATAAGTTTAAAATAAATCAGACCACTCGGCATATTCTGCGTAATATGTTATGAAAAATGATGCAATGTTATTCTGATGTTACTGAAAGTATTCGTAAGTTAAAGTTGAAAATGATTGGAAATTTCAATTCTATTCGAGGACATTTAAATGCGTATTTGCGGACTCACAAAAAAAGCGCACAAGCTTCACCAGCGAGCTGTTACAATACCTTGGAATATGTGCTCAATATTAACAAATTGTTCTTCTGTTATTGTTGTTATTTGTAATGAAGAGAGTAAATTTGTTTTTACGCGACTTTTCATTAACCATTGCTAGCTGAACTCTCAGTCTTTGTACGAAGAAGTTTCTGTTGTCGCTATAATTTTATTTTTTCGCCCCAAGCTAATTGTATTGTCTCTAAGGTAGAGCTTGGCGGTTGGTTTTCCTATTTTTTTGAGTAGTTTTGTTTACAAAAATAAAATAGCCGCTCGCGAAACGGTTAGTTTTTAGACGTGCGATTCAAATGATTGCTCTACTATTTGAATTCTAGGTGGCGTGATAGAGAAAATCGTGCATGCAGATCCATTCAGAACCGTTATAAAACATTCACCGTATGAATTTCGTCTCTAATCAAGCTTTACGGTGACTCGCAGGCCATCAAAGAATATTTTGAAATGTTAATATTCTAGAGTTACTATCAACTAACCCACTGTGATGTCAGAATTTTATAGTTCAAGTAAAGATAATCTCCTGCAAAGATAACTGGAATCTAGTTCCCTTATTTTCCCCTAAATTTGTTCAAATCGAAAATTCACGAGAAAATAAAGCATACGGCCACTGTTGGATATCATCCCATTAATTTGATTAAATGGACACACAGAAGAACGAATGGGTCACATTGTCTTATTCAACAGCATAATAATGGGATTATATAATCATCCCCTAAGTATGCGATCAAAATTCAAGACCGCTCTGCGACGACACTAATGTTATTAGCTGAGCATTGCTTGGGATTTAATAAATTTAGCGTAATTTAGGAATGAAAAAATGTAATCCCCCCGAAATTTAAGGAATTTGGCACGCTAATAACGACGAAACAAATATAAAAAGATATTGTAACAAGGAATAGTCTTAATAGGCATCCTATACGCCAGTTCTAAATAAAAATTCAGTTCTATATAAAAAAATTAACATAGGAACACTTATCATAAATTTTCCAATATTGCTTGTAACCTCGCATCATTTCTGCCGTCACTAATGATCTTGGATGTGCCCAGAATTTGAACTCATGTATTCAGAGAAATAAATGAGCTTTTTGCAAAAAATTATGCATTTCTGACCCTTGTGTGGGTCATCCTGACCCAGTTTGGCTCGGCACAGGGGCTTTTTAGTGCTACGGTACATCCGCTCGCTGCTCGTGCTGTGGGTAAGAAATGTTTCGTTGCTTGGAGGTCGTGACCCATACATTTTTCTGAGTGGTCGTAGCTTCGCATGTTCGTAATAATGTTATGTTCGTAGCCTCACATGTTCGTAATAATGTTATGTTCGTAGCCTCACATGTTCGTAATAATGTTATGTTCGTAGCCTCACATGTTCGTAATAATGTAATGTTCGTAGCCTCACATGTTCGTAATAATGTAATGTTCGTAGCCTCACATGTTCGTAATAATGTAATGTTCGTAGCCTCACATGTTCGTAATAATGTTATGTTCGTAGCCTCACATGTTCGTAATAATGTTATGTGCGTGGCCTCACATGTTCGTAATAATGTAATGTTCGTAGCCTCACATAATTTCCAATTAAGATAACCGTTGGATTCAACTGCCAGATTCACCAAATTTCTCAGCCTTGAGATTAGCAATGGTTTTTAGATGAATAAGAAGAGGTGACTCAGCGATAAGCGCTCATAACATGACATAGTTATGTCGGCCCTGAAGAGTAGGCCTGATGTGGCCTGTCGCCGATTCTTTTCTTTTTCGTGCATTGTTCACAGAAGATCTAAAATCGTGTCATTTGACCGGATCTTTTCAAGACTGACGATAGTGTGAAATAGCTACTAGACTTCCACCGGGTTCGATATGGTGCTAGGCATTTCAAGTCTGAACATATATTTTTGCATAGCTTTAGCTTTCCATAGCTAGTCATGACTCAGATTCCCCCAGAAGAAAAGTGACGTTGATAAAACGTTGATTACAAGTGAATCTGAACGTTATTTCTCCGTCAGATGCATGGTGGGTCATCCGTTATTTTGGAATTGAAAAAAATAACAGGTACCATTGAATTCATTGATGCCCAGAGCACGGCAAGCCTTTATCCTCGCGAAGGCAAATGACAATAGTTTCATGTGCGCCATTATAGTGACCAAAACAATTGGCAGCGTTTTGAATTTTCGAAGTTGCTTCGATTGCTCGACTAGATCGTGCTCCGTATAATTGAGCTGAGCAAGTATCTGCACGTAGCGTTCTGATAGAAATGTGTGTAGGCTTATAAAAACTTGTGAAAACCATTCTTTCAAATTAAAGGATGGTTAGAGTTTAAATTTTGTTACTTTATTAAATTTCACCATTAAATTGCACATTCGAGCAATTATTTTAATTTGCAAACGGGGAAAAAGCTAGTTGTCACTCTGGTAATATTACGCCATTCGATCGTTTCATTCATTGATGTTCATTGATGTCTCGGCATTTTTGGTCAGCATGTTTTCACATATAATCCGCTTTTTATTTTTCAGATATCTTCGTTTTTTTCAGAGCCCACGCTTAAAAATGAATAATATGCACCCATGCAGCATCGCAAAACAGGAGTTGAATTTAAAAATTCAAATAAAATGAAATTTGTGAATAATAACATTAAAAGGCTATGGTAATTTTGTATCATGAATATGTAATTAAAATATCATTAAAATCTGAAAATTGATATTTTCATCATTAAAACGTAAGGAAGATACACATGTAGGCTTCGGTACGAAATAAAAAATTTCAAAATTACTCTCATTTCGCCACCATTTGTCAAGACGGTCGAAGAAGCCAGATTTTTTTAATGAAATCGATGAAGGAGAATTTTTCAGCACAGTAAAAATAATAAAAAAAAAATCAATTGGCAAAATGCTTCGAATTAGGCCAAAAATATATTATCTTATCACACGCACTTTTCGATGATACTAGCTGGGCCCACGCGCTCATTACTATGATATTGTTGATCACGAAGTTTATAGGGTCGTTATATAAAAGTCTGGATTTGAAGGGAGCGCACGCATAAGCGCGAAGTATCCAATCAAGTTAAGAAACTGAGGTGCTTTCCAGGAAATATTTCTGTGTTGACATCCCACAAAAAAACTTGACGTTTTCTCTCTCTACATTGAAAGAATCGGATCTTGTTAACAATAAACACCCCATACGTTACTGGGGTTGCGTATTCTTAACAAGGTTAATTGAATGAATAATACAAACATATTAGATCTATTAAAACATTTTTTTAAGAATTAAGATTCAATGTAAAAAATACATTGCGTTTTATTAACAGGGATATACTAGGGTGCGTTATCTTAACATGGTCATACTTGGGTGTTCATTCTTAATAAGGTCCGAATAATCTCGCTCAAGATCGCTACTTCGGGACGATCAGCTCCATTTTTGTCTTGAAGAAGCTCCCGAGCAAAGGGCCTTCATATGATAGTCTACAGCACTAAGTCATAGTCTTCCACACTAAGTCATAGTCTTCCACACTAAGTCGTAGAATTCCACACTAAGTCATAGTCTTCCATACTTAGTCTTAGTCCTCCACACTAAGTCATAGCCTTCTACATACACTAAGTCATAGACGTCCACACTAAGTCGTAGAACTCCACACTAAGTCATAGTCTTCCACACTAAGTCATAGTCTTCCACACTAAGTCGTAGTCTTCCAAACCAAGTCATAGTTTGCCATACCATGTCATGGTCTTCACACCTAGGTCACAGTTATTTATACGAAGACATATAGTCTGCCGCACTTATTCACTAGGTTATGATACAGCCAGACCATGAAGGAAAGTATTCGAATGCAGTCGGAATGATAACCATTTAGATTTGCGTCTAGTATGATCATAGACACGATAGAAATTGCCCCTAACGAAAAATATTTTTATTCCCACGTCAATTGTGTTTTATCATAATATCCAAAGGTAATAGTTAATTTTACCAGAGTTTTTTATGTAATATAGCATAGAGTTTTGGTTCAAGGAATGTAACTGCATAAGACAAAGGAGTTTTCTCCGTGCAAGCTTCATGACTGAAACTCTCATGTTCTTAGTTACTGCACGACTCGTTCATTGCACGACAAGTCGAGTGATATCGTCGTAACTGATTTCAGTTTAGAATACCTGGATTGTCTTTCACTCACTGACTTCATTATAATTTTCTTTCATGCTCGCTCTTATTTTTATATTACTATTTCGCTTGCTCACATTTGAACTTATATACGCAATTGTTCCCGGACCGGATGCACCAACCGATCCAATGAAGTACATGAAGACGAGGTTTCAAATTTTCGTTTTGTGTTATATCTTCTCGTCGGCATGGTTTCCAGCTCACGGGTTATAGAGAACCGAACGTCCTGCCAATTAAATAAATGTACTGTAGCTTTGGTTAGAACATTTTACGCTTAGTTTGATGGAAGATGCATCCGGAACGGCATTTTCTGCAGAACAAACTACCTCATGCGTCTTCAGGAATAAACTTCATTTTATTTGATGAGATTTGTGCCGGCTTCATGAAACTAATGAGAATTGTGTCAGCTTCGATGTATTAATGAGAACCGTGGTAGGCTCAATTTACTAATGAGAATTGTGTCAGGCTGATTTTACTAATGACAATTGTATTAGGTTGATTGTGCATATTAGAATTGTGTCAGTTCTTTTGTACTAATGAGGAGAGCGTCAGCTTCATTGTACTAGTGAGTAGAGCGTCAGCTTCATTGTACTAGTGAGTAGAGCGTCAGCTTCATTGTACTAGTGAGTAGAGCGTCAGCTTCATTGTACTAATGAGTAGAGCNACCAATGAGGAGTGCGTCAGCTTCATTGTACTAATGAGGAGTGCGTCAGTTCCATTGTACCAATGAGGAGTGCGTCAGCTTCATTGTACTAATGAGGAGTGCGTCAGTTCCATTGTACCAATGAGGAGTGCGTCAGCTTCATTGTACTAATGAGGAGTGCGTCAGTTCCATTGTACCAATGAGGAGTGCGTCAGCTTCATTGTGCTAATGAGGAGTGCGTCAGCTCCATTGTGCTAATTAGTGTTATGTGCTCAACTTGCGTACTCTGATCCGAAAAAGTTAACTTTTCTCGGCTGCACCGATGGACCAATGGCCCCTGGTTTTCGCACTCGATTTTTCGGCACTTCTCTCCCATTTTCCGTCGACTTCAAATGTACAAAGTTACCGTAGTGAATGAGCGAATGTTTCAGCAAGTAGAATCCCGTTTAAAAATTTTAATTGAATAGTTGAATTTATCTGGTCTGACGGGGACTAGTCTGATCCATTGAATGAATTGAATTTAGAACTTAATATGATTTTGAACTGAGTGTAACTTGTTCATGCAATTATTATAGATGGTAATTATAATAATACAGTTAAAATATTTCAGTAGGTGCTTTAATTTTGTCAAATCGCTGTGGCACCGGAAGTAGTTTGGAAAGATTGCCAAAACAATACTAAAAATGCCGATGTTAACGGAAATAAAACGCATTGACACATAGTCCCGTATGATATTCATGCGGCATAGCCCTGTATGACATTCATGCGGCATAGTTTTGTATGATATTCATGCGGCATAATCCCGTATGATGTTCATGCGGCAAAATCCCGTATGATATTCATGCGGCATAATCCCGTATGATATTATGCGGCATAGTCCTGTATGATATTCATGCGGCATAAGCCCGTATGATATTATGCGGCATAGTCCTGTATGACATTCATGCGGCATAATCCCGTATGATATTATGCGGCATAATCCCGTATGATATTCATGCGGCATAATCCCGTATGATATTCATGCGGCA